CGCACAAAGGCAAGGGATTTCCTCGAGCTCTTCAGAGTTTTCAACAAGTTAGCATCGGCTTTTGTAGGTATAGCTTCTGTGACATCCCCTCCTGGACTTGCAACTGCAATACTGCGACCGCCGGTCAAGTCGTTGACTGACGAATCCTCAGAACAAAACCCGTTCCGTTCTAAGAGCGCGACAGCATGTTGCAAGTGAAAGGACTTTTCAGTACAGATTTCTTGTCAGACTCGTGGAAGGTGACTATGCTGCAATGTACGAGCTGATTTGTGAAAAATCAATGTGGCATGATATTTCACAAATCGACTAAAATATCATTGTTGAGCGCGATTGCATTAATGAAGTGTTTTGTTAGTTCAACAGACCAGTGAGTTTCCATTGTAATATAGTCTGTAGCAATCAGCAGCGTTTTGCGGCATTGTTTTCTTCCCCGGCCTTGTGAATTATCAATCATACTTGGTCCGTTTTTTCGCAATGACGAATCCTCAGAACAAAACCTGTTCCGTTCTAAGAGCGAGATAGCATGTTTCAAGTGAAAGGATTTGTCAGTACAAAATTCACAAATCGACTAAAATATCATTGTCGAGGGCGATTGCATTCATGACTCCGCTATCTTCACGTGGCTAGGGCACCCTGTAAGAAGACCATAGGTCTGTGGGGACTGCCCTAGTAAAATATGAATAAATAATAATAATGTAAAAGAGAAAAGGACATATGGATACGAGTTTAGAGTAACTCTTCATCACTGTAACATGATACTATATACAGTCAGAAAGTGCAATAACTAGGCACAAAACTGACAGAGTACTGAGACATTCGACGTCCTGACACCTAACTTTAACACATCTCCGTAGCGCTAACCGACAGCCTTCCAACTTGGAAGGTTCAAGGTTATGGAAAGACCAAAGAGGGGAAGGCAAGCGCAACGAAAACGAGCAAAAGCTACAGTCCCAACGGAACAAAGAATGTCGATTGTTACTGGACGATGACGAGACCAGTACGATATTTTTCGAATGTCTCAGTACTCTGGTAGTTTTGTGCCTAGTTATTGCACTTTCTGACTGTATATAGTATCATGTTACAGTGATGGAGAGTTACTCTAAACTCGTATCCATATGTCCTTTTCTCTTTTACATTTATTTATGGCTCAACATCCGAGTTTCAAATTGCACACCTGATGAGCCGTCACGAAGCATACGGCGAAACGTACGTCGTGTGAAACAACTTGTTTTGTAGTCAACTAGTCCATCACAATGTCATGCATGAGGAGTACTGTAGGAGTTTGGCTTTCGGCTTGTACAATTCGTTTTCGCAAAGCTTCCCTTTCTTTACTTATCTTTGATATTTATGACCCACCCAAGTTGGGTGGTGTTCTGCTTTGCTGCTTCGAATTGTAGTTAGACCGCTTTGTCAAATATCGTACTGGTCTCGTCATCGTCCAGTAACAATCGACATTCTTTGTTCCGTTGGGACTGTAGCTTTTGCTCGTTTTCGTTGCGCTTGCCTTCCCCTCTTTGGTCTTTCCATAACCTTGAACCTTCCAAGTTGGAAGGCTGTCGGTTAGCGCTACGGAGATGTGTTAAAGTTAGGTGTCAGGACGTCGAATGTCTCAGTACTCTGTCAGTTTTGTGCCTAGTTATTGCACTTTCTGACTGTATATAGTTTCATGTTACAGTGATGGAGAGTTACTCTAAACTCGTATCCATATGTCCTTTTCTCTTTTACATTTATTTATGGCTCAACATCCGAGTTTCAAATAATAATAATAATAATAATAATAATAATAATCGCAGCGCTGCTGTTCGCTTCGCCACTTCATGGGACAGAGCTCTCAAACTCATCGTCTGCGCTGCTTCCGCTGCCTCTGCTGACGGCTTGTCATCTGGGCGAAACCTTGTCACTTTCACCTGATTCGTCTTGCTGTGGTTTATGGCAAGCAGCGGAGTAGCTCTAGCTTCCAACTATTATAGTCACACATGCTCTACCTAGAATTATTTATCGCGAGACCGGTCTGTCAAGAATATATTGTACGCTCTCATGTGAGCGCATGATTCTGCATTCGCTACCCAGAGCGCAAACGGCTCCATGGCGGCTGAAAACGCCCACCTGAACGTCCCAAATTCCTGGCGAATAAACTACGATGGGGACGACGACAAATTATAATGAAGCCACCAAGAAGAAGACACTTTCAAAGCGACGGCGCACAATGTCAGTTCGCTTACATCGCAATGACTAAAAACGACATCAGTTCTATTTTTCGAAAATGTCGACATTTTGTGGGGCCCAGGTTCTTGCTGCCGATGCCTCACAATTTACGTCTTTAAAACTGATACAGTGGGCATGGAAATTAAGTCCTTTTTCTCGAATTGTCGTTATATTCGCAGTCGTGATTAGCGAAGTTGCCTGTACACCCATAACCTGTGTTCCCCGCATCTTTTCTGTAGCCGTACAATGTCCTGATCCGCAGCTTGAGAACGGTGTTGCTAATACAGTAATCAAAGGAGTGTACGTAGAGTTCAAGTGCGATCCTGGATACTACCTCAAGGGAGAACCAAGTTTATTCTGCTTCAGACCAGGCACATGGTCTAATTATGTACCAACATGTGTCAGTAAGTTCTACAATTGTTGCATTTCGGCATTCACACACACACACACACACCTTCCTTCCTTCGTACACTGCCACGATTGGCTATGTGTCCCCAAACGGGGCGACTTGAAGGAGTGCTGTCTCCGGGACGCGGCATTAGGCCCTGCGAGTCCGGCGGGACGTGAACGGCTGTTTCACTGACACACACACACACACACACGCACGCGCGCGCGCACACACACACACTCACACACACACACACGCACACATACATACACCTCAGACGTCAGACCTCAGACCTCCTCTCAGACCTCAGACATGCCCATTGCGGAAGCGATGATAGCGAACAGCTATGTTAGACATAGCAACTTGTGCTGGGATTACACCATTCAGCAGCTTGCAAGGCTGATGACCGCCACTATTTTTAGCCTGGTATCCACCACACAGCTGTTTGAAGTGACTTTTTCTGGCTAGTGAATCCATATTTTTCATTTTTCCATTTTTTTTTCTACGCACACACCACACCACATACTCCGGCATACACTGGCTGTTCGTAGGCACCCAGGAGGATGAAAGAAAAGTCAGGAAGAGTCCGAGAAAGAGAAGAAAGGCGTGTGCGACTTCCAATCGAGAGGTTGCGGGTTCAATTCCCGACGATTATAGTCAATTTTTTCTTCAGACTTTGCCCGTTTGTCTCTTTCCCTCAAAACCAGTCAAAAAAATAATAATAATAATACCTGTTGTCATGATACCTTTGGGCTTTAATGCCTGTGATGTTACAGGGGCCTTTTTCCCTTCCTCTCTTTCTACCGTAATTTTTGCCATAATTATTCCGTGCTGCTTACCTTTGGCAATGATAAGTCTGGTGAGTTAGTGTAATACCTCCAATTTTTATTTTTATTTTCAATTTGGAGTGAAATAAAGAATCATAATAAGAAATGAGAGCAGTACTACACAGCATAGCAGCATTAGCACATACTGGTTTTGTATTTTGTATTTGTATTTGTATTTATGGATTCTCCACAGGCCTTAGCCTAAATCGAGGGAGTCTCTGTCAACAGCTTATGAAGAAGAAGCTGAGGAGAAAAATGAAAATAGGAAATAGAATGATGCGGAGTGGTAGCAATATAACACAGTGCTCTATGACATCGCTACTCTACGTGGAATGAAACCAGAGGGCTCATAACGGGTCATAGCAAAGTGTGTGCGGACAAGAGCGGTAAAACATTTTGGGTTGGATACAGTACGAATGGCAGCCGGGAGGGAGTTCCATGTGGCAGTGGTGACAAAGAGAAAGGTGGCACGGGTGTGTGTGCTGGCTCTAGCAGGTGGGAGTTGTGGAGCGAGGAACGCATTGCCTCCCTGCGTGAAGCTCTTGCAACCTGCAATCTGCAGTACGATCAACATCCCACTGACCCTCGGCCAGTAACCTCATTCTGGGAGGGACCATATACTGAAACTAGCCGTGCACCACTGCCAAGTGACCAGAAGCAAATCCCGCAAAACTACTACACCCACTCTTCCCTGGATGACGAAGGATCTCCTTAGCCAGATCAAAACAATGCACAAATAGTTCCGCACCTACAAGGCGACCCAATTAGACTCAGACTGGAAACTGTACACAGCCCAGCGTAACCGAGTAACCGCTCTTTTGCGACAGGCTAAGTCTGATTTTGTCCAGCAAACAACGTCAACGGGTACAAACTTCCACCGTCTACTAAAGCACCTGAAGAAACCGCCTAAGCAAACAATTCCCACACTATCGACAGCCAACTCCACTGCAGCCACGGCCATGGAGAAGGCAACAGCTCTCAACAAGTTCTTTATCTTCCAAAGCCAATAGTCCATCGACAAGACCGTCTGTACTACACCAGACATCAACACTACCCCTGACATCAGTCATACTCTAAATACAATCGCAGCAACAGCGGAAGAGGTCGAGAAGCTTCTAAGCAGTCTAGACACTGGAAAGAGCCCAGGCTTTGAAAACATCCCAACTCGGCTCCTGAAAGAAATTGCAAAGGAAATCTCCCCATCTCTCACTAGTCTCTACAATCTGTCCTTCAGAACCGGAGAAATACCACACTGGATTGGAAAGACGCAACTTTTACACCCATCCCAAAGTCGGGCAACCCCTCCCATCCTACCAACTACCGACCCATCTCCCTGCTCATTATAATATCCAAAACACAAGAAAATATAGCCCACTCTCGTCTGTACAATCACATAGCACCGCACTTACCCTCCAACCAATCCGGCTTCAGGAAACAAGACGGGACCGAACTGCAACTGGCACGGATCGTCCACCAAATATCCACAGCTAGGGATGCGGGGAAGCATGTTGTTACGTGTTTCTTCAATCTCAGTAAAGCCTTTGATCATGTATGGCATCAAGGCTTGCTGAAAAAGCTGAGCCACTAAGTTGTTGACGGCAACGCTCACAAGTGGGTCGAAGCCTACTTGACAGGACGCAGACAGCGGGTGCAGGTTGAAGGCACAACATCCACCTTCATACCTATACCAGCGGGAGTGCCCCAGGGCTCTGTCCTGGGACCACTTTTGTTCCTGGCGTACACCATTGACCTGCCCACTGCCTTTAAAAATGCTACAACCTCGCGTAGCCAGTTCGCGGACGACACCGCACTAGTTGCCATCCCAGGCAGATACACTGAGTGTGAGGCTGTGCTACAAAGAAGCGTCGATGCCGCAGCAGAATGTCTAGAGCGCTGGCACCTGCTAGTCAATAAAACGAAAACCATCATCCTCCCGTTCTACCATGCTAACTGACCCCCACCACGAGTACCCGAAATAAAACTTGGGCAAACCCTACTAGAAACAGTAATACAACATCGTCACCTCGGCATCATCTTTCAGCACGACCTAAGATGGTCAGCCCACCTTGACTTTGTGCTGAAGAAAGCCGTAAAATCTCTTAATATTCTCTTTAGGCTCAAATCAACTCTACACACTTAATCACTCTCTCTCGTTTACAAAACATATATCCTGCCTAAAATTGAATATACATGCATTGCTGTCACCCCGCTCTCAATTCCAGCCCTTGACCTTCTTGAGCGAATCCAGCGCAAGGCGGCCAGAATCTGCCTCCGTCTCCCCCCCCCCCCCCTACACTCCTACACTGCTCCATCGGCTCAAATGGCCGGCAATGTTCTCTCGCCGCAAAGTGAAGCTCACCCTTCTTGCACACTCCATAAAATACCAATATGCCCCACAACACATACGCATGCTCAACACCCCCGCTCAAGTTACGGCCCAGTACAGCCTTCGACGCGCACGCACGACACGCACCCACCGATCGCTGTAAAGAGTCCCCACTGTACAAGTCCCTAGAATACTACAATGCCCTCTCTGCTAGGATTCGTGACGTCTCCTCCCGACCTGCTTTCAAACAAGAAATCTGCTCACTGCTGATTACCTTAATCTGTTCCTGCAGCGCTCACCCTCTCCCACACTTGTAAAATTTAAAGTGATGTAAATCACTTTCCAACTGCATAACCCACAATCTCACCTTCTCATAAATTTATCGCTTATTGGCGATGGTGTCATCGTAAGAATAAAAAATTCAACAACAACAACAACAACAACAACACACACACACATATCACCCTCAGGAATAGTCCGCTTACCGTAGCACAAAAACACAACCACCTCGGAATAATCTTTCAGCATGACCTCCGTTGGACGGAGCATGTTGAATACATAGTCAAAAAATCACTCAAGTCTTCCGATATTCTTTTTAGACTAAGGTCTACAGTCACCAGTGATTCTTTATCTCACATCTATCAGACATACATACTACCTATATTCTCAGATGCGAGCAATGCTCTCACACCGTTGTCACACATTTCTACTCATCAGGCTGCGGATGCAGTTTTGAGAGCTCTGTATCCTTTTGTGAAAGTCTTCTGTTTTAGTTTGTCCCATGTCAGGAGTTTGCCCTTGCCATGGCGACAAGTGCAAGTAGTACAGTGGTTGACCCCCACGAATATGGCAGTCCTTCACCCTGCTCAGTTCTTACAAATAAATGTATTGACTTCCTAAACGGCCTGGCCGAAATTGTACGCGAAATCCAGCGAGAGCGGTGCGAGGCAGCAGATCGAGAGAAGCGTTTGATAACCAAGATCGATATGCTCACCCGGAAGGTCGAAGAACTGTCTCTGAAAGCTGCTGGATCATCGACATTTGATCACGGAGATGAAATTTCCGAAAAAGTCGACCGAAAAACAACGAACAAGAAAGGCCAAAAAATAGAAAAACCCACCTGGTGGAGCTGCCACATCAACGAGCACAAGCACAGGTACTCCAGGCAGCGATCACCCTATGAACTCCTAAACCTCCGTAGCTGTCGACAGTTCTAGTTCCTCTCCGGCAGCTCCTGGGAGCACAACCGTACCGCAGCTCGAAAATTCGAAAAATGCTTCCAACCCAGCGCAGAGTGATTTACTTTCTAATTTCGAAGAGGACAACAAAGACAGTGGAGTATAGGAACTTTTTGTGAACGAAAGCCTGCCGGAAGGAAGTGTGTGATGTTCGTTGGCAATCTTCCCTGCAGTGCAGTACCTGAGAAGATTGCTGAGTTTGTGACCATCAGAGCAAGTGAAGCCAAAGTGAACGTCAAGATTTGCGAATGCAAAATTTTCAAAAAGGAAAGGTCCTCCTCGGCACGCCTTGTTGTGGATGCTAAGAGTGCAGTACTAGTAAACTCGAGAGAGTTGTGGCCTAGACCTCTGTACTCACACCTATAGAATTTCGACAAGTATGATTCTACCTCTCCTCCCCTTCGGGTGATGATGAGGCAATGGAGCTGCTAAGTGGCCTACCAAACATCCGTACTGAGAAACACCCAGCTGATAAATCGTCTGGTGCCACCAAGGAATCGTCTAGTATGCACGATGCCCAGTAGCCAACCAACGATGTTCAGACTCTTGGTGACGAATGCCTTTGGCCTATCGTCCAAGCTTGCAGAATTCCGCCACACCCTCCAGACCCTGAAGCCAGGTATAG